GCGAGGCAGGGAAGGGATATGAGGGCTTTGCGGAGCAAACAGGCCATCCATCAATGTATTGATCATCTGGGAGGCCCCTTGTTTGGTTAAGCCAGTTTAGATAGCCAGAAGGTTCTCAGCCAAGTGGCTGATCTAGGGAAGTATACATAGTAAAGGAGACAAAAGTGCCCCCTCACTTTGGGGAGTCTCCTTGCTGCCACTTCCATAGCAATGGTAGGGTATGCAGACTATAAATATTGGGTGATGCTTCAAGGCCAGCTCTAGGGCCAAGTGTTTGCCTGCACCCCACGATCTTTTGTTGTGCCTGCATGATGATTTGCAGTCATGATGGTATTGGAGTGGCTATACCTCATGCCACTTTCAAAACTTGTTTGCAAAAGCTTTGGGGGGGACATCTTACTGTGATCAGTGCATGCCCTGTAACATCTTGCTGAAATATGGAAACTTTATTTTTAACCACAAATGTTCCAGGTGTGTGCTTGTTTTTGAACCACTTCTGTTGTGTTATAGTGCAAGTGTTGCCCCTCTAGTTGGAAAATGTGTGCTAAAACTGAGGAAGTATCGCAGAACAATGAATCAAGTAGAATGATGTGTGGATGCTACAATATAAACACATAGCTGGTGCCCTTTTATTGCAGAACACACGCACCAGGTAGCATGTGCAAAAATGCAGATATTGGGATTAAAGTGTGAAGAAAGATGTATACGTTGGTAAAAATAACTTGCAAAGATTGGATTCTAGTGTGGAAATTTGCTTTGCAAAAATGTGCATGCAAAATTGCATACAAATTGTGTAAATTCACACTAAAATGTTGATGAATTTTCATGTGGGGTTTTTTATCCAAAAAATTACTTGGAAGCATGAAGAACTGAACTTGACTGGAAAAAATGAGGGGAAACTGAAACTGACAGATTTGACCATTGCTCTTCGTATGTAAGGCAGTAAGACTAGGGAAGAGAAAACAAGGCGGAGTCTTTGTGAAGGCGGAGATAAAGCAGAATGGAGGGGATAATTGAGACTGTCAAAAGAGAGTACTCAAAAAGAATTGAAAAAGAACATCACTCCCATTTTTAATAAGTATAAAAAAAACCATGCTAGTAGCACCATTGCAAAATTTCAAAAATAAAAGTAATTCCTGGGTGATTCTGATGGAAGAATACTTCATGAAAAAAAAAAAAATTGGTGTTTTTCTTCTTCTTGGAAAGGGACCAAAAAGACAGCAGGAACCTCACCCCCCACCAGCACCTCCCCCCCCCAAAAAAAATCTGGCTTTCAAAATTCCAGGAAAGTACAGGAAAAACCCCCTCTATCCTGACATGTTGAGTTCCACTCCAGTAAACGTATCCTGTGTAACTGAACCTCAGAATCTATGTCAGACTTTGGCAGATGCAGATTCAGTCAGCATCCTCAGATCAGACATAGGGAAGCAAGCAAGCAGCCTCTAGAGATATGCAGAGAGACCAAGGTATGTGTTAGAACTGTATAAGTCCTGGCCACTGCCTTGGATTGCATCCAGAAGGAGGCACCCAATGAATATGGAATGCCATGTCAGATCTCAGAGCTGTGAAGTGCATTCTTTTGAAATACTGTGACGAATGAAGTCAGGAGGCCCAATTCCCAAAGTTCCTTATATAGAGAACTTAAAAGGCAAAAGCAAGTGAGTGTCCAGGGAGCAGGTGGGTAGAGAGAAGAAATGCCAGGGGCAGATGCTTAGAGCTCTGCAGGCGTCTGAATTGCTGCATCCTGGAACACTCTCATAGAACAATATGCCAAAGTTTCACAGGAAGAAGCCTTGCAAGGTGTCCAGATTCTTCCCACCATTCTGGCCTGCTGCTCCAATTTAGCCATCCTGACCTCCCTTCTGCTGTCCTATGGATGCACACTGGGTGCAAAATATCAACTCCTTTCTCCAGCTAGGCACTGGGGAACAGGACTGGGAGGGGGAAGAGGTGAGCTTCGGTAGCCAAAGCACATGGTCTTGGTTTTGCTGCCAGTTATTAAAGAATTGTGCATTCAACTTAAAGCATAATAAGAACTTGCTGGATCAGGCCAATGGCCAATCTCCCAACATTCAGCTTCACTGGAAGCCCACAAGTTTTAATGTTATGTGAGAAGGAGAAAAAACATTTTCCTAGCAGCTTGTCGTGCATAATTTTATAAGATTCTTTCATATAGCCTCTTCCTTGCTTTTTCCCTTAACTAAAAAGTCCCAAACGCTGTATCCTTTTTTCACCAGGGAGTCCTTCTACCCCCTTAATCACTTTGTTTGCCCTTTTCTGAACCTTGATATATCTTTTGGTGATAGTTTGCCTTATGGTTGACCTACGTTACCTTTACAGTGGTACCTCAGGTTACATATGCTTCAGGTTACATACGCTTCAGGTTACAGACTTCGCTAACCCAGATATAGTACCTCGGGTTAAGAACTTTGCTTCAGGATGAGAACAGAAATTGCACGGTGGTGGCACAGCACAGTGGGATGCCCCATTAGCTAAAGTGGTGCTTCAGGTTAAGAACAGTTTCAGGTTAAGAACAGACCTCCGGAACAAATTAAGTACATAACCAGAGGTACCACTGTATTACTAAAGTCAGGGGCAGGGAACCACATTGTCTCACGGGCAAGCCCTTGGGGGCACCATACCAATGTTGAGTGGGGACAGAGGCAAAAGTGGATGGAGCAACAGATGCAGCTTTTTGCATGGTTGGAATTTAGCCCACTGAAAATCAGAGGTTTCTAAGTACACATCTTATCACAGTTCAAAGATGCATTAAAGGCTGGCAGAATTACTCAAAGAGGGCACAGAACAGTCCCACTAAGGGGTGACACAAGGAACGGTGTGTGGCCTGGGGAGAATCAGTGTATTTGGGTGCTTGCAGCAGGGGTAGCCAACGATACTCTCCGGATACTGGGCCCATCAGCCCCAACCAGCATGGCCAATGGTCACGGACAATGGGAAGTGCCATCCAACAACAGTTCTGGTGGGTACCACATAAGCTACCCTGGCCTTAGAATGTCAGATCAAGACTGTGAAGGTCTATTTTCAAATTGCCACCCAGTCGCATTCAAGGGTGGGTGAGCTGGTCCATTTCCATTTCCGTTTCTCATTTTTTTTCCAATCTTAAGTTCAGTTTTCTACATTTCCACATCAGTTTGTGAATTTCATACCAATGGTCCACAGTGACTGGCAAAAGCTCTCTGTGGTTTCAGCCGGGGTGGGGTGGGGTCTCCCCCATCCTTGCCTGGAAATGCCAGGAATTTAACCTGGGACCTTCTGCATGCAAAAGCATTGTCTTGCACCCCTCCCCAGGTATTGAAGGGCAAAGAGGTACGTGGTTGTTTCCTTCTCCCTCTCGGCAACCAGCCGAGAAGCTTTTCGCTGCTCTAGGTTAAATGCTGGATCTCTAATGGGGAATGCATTTGTTACATCACAAGCATATACTTCCCTTGGACGCCTTCCACGGTGATTTGGGATGCTACCAAGTCCTGTGCTTAGAAGCTGACACTACCTCTGCTACAAGCTGTAAGCAGACACTTAAGGCTTTAATGAATGGAAATTTCAGGGTTAGCCAGGATTCTGTTTAATTCTCACCAAGCTGACCTGCTGGCCTGGTTTTCAGTACGGGGATATGTGCAAGTGTGGCAGCTGCTGGAGAAGATCTAAAGCTACCGGCATGCTGTACATCAACATAAAGTAGAGTGCATTATATGTGAGCCACAGCTCAAACGCAGTCGTGCCACTGTTTATCCAGGCACCACAAATGTTTGGATTGTTATGCTGAATAATTCTGCACCATATGCATATGTATGAAAGGCTGTACCCTCAGTTAATTCACTACAGTTGAATATGCGCTGATGGAATATTCCTATTATTTTTTTATCAACATAATTTCAACCTAAAGGGGACTGTTGGCTAGTTAAAGCTAGTTAAGAGGTTAAAGCTAGTTAGAGGGTGCAGGGCATGTCAAGTGACACATACACAACTCTGTCCTCAAAAGTTGCCACCACTTCCTAAATCTGCTGCTTGGGCAGCTTCCTGAACCTCCCTGATGGTAGGGCCGGCCCTGAAGTACGTCCTCATTGGAGAGGCAGGCCATGGGAAGTAAAGCATAAATGAAGTGGGCACAATGATAAGCCAAATACACTCATGTGAGTAATGTTATAGCAGCTTAATATTGATGCTGAAAACAACTTGTTCAAGTATGAGGAGCTAGGTGGGAATTTTGGGGGCCAGGTGAATGCCCATTGGCCCCTTTTGTCCCAGGACAACAATTGAGTCAATAAGCGATAGTAGATTCCAGGCACTCCTACTCTTTAATGCTTTGACTACTGCAGCACACTCTACATGGGGCTACCTCTGAAGGTGATTCGAAAACTACAACTAATTCCGAATGCGGCAGCTAGACTGGTGACTGGGAGTGGCCACTGGGACCATATAACACCGCTCCTGAAAGACCTACATTGGCTCCCAGTACGTTTCCAGGCACAATTCAAAGTGTCAATGCTGACCTTTAAAGCCCTAAAGGGCCTCGGCCCTGTGTATTTGAGGGAGTGTCTCCACTCCTGTCATTCGGCATGGATACTGAGCTCTAACTCTGAGGGCCTTCTGGTGGTTCCCTCATTGCAAGAAGTGAGGTTACAGGGAACCAGGTAGAGGGCCTTCTCGGTGGTGGCGCCCGCCCTATGGAATGCCCGGCCATCAGATGTTAAGGAGGTAAGTAACTATACAACCCTTTAAAGACAACTGAAGGCAGCCCTGCATACAGAAATTTATTATATTTGATGTTTACTTATGTTTCTATATATGCTGGAAGCTGTCCAGAGTGGCTGGGGCAACACTGTCAGAAGGACAGGGTATTATTATTATTATTATTATTATTCCAACTAGAGATGTACAAAACCATCAAGTACAATCCTTTATACCACAGTCCCATAACTACACAAATAAAAGGGACACACACACACACACACACACAAATACATGCACAACACACATAACATGCCTGGGCTAGCTCAGATAGTAGAGCTTGAGACTAAATCTCAGGGTTGTGAGTTTTAGCCCCACATTGGGCAAAAAGATTGCTGAATTGCAAGGGGTTGGACTACATTACCCTCTTGGTCCCTTCCATCTCTACAATTCTATGATAAGGCTTACTTATTGAATTTATATCCCATACTTGCTCTCAAAGGAGCCCAGGATGGCAAACAGATCCAAAATTTAAATTTTTTTTTTAAAAAAACTCACATTTTAAACAGTTAATGTATTCTCAGTGTTTTTCTTTTCTTTAAAATTGCAGAAAGGAGATAATTAATCCCCATTGACTCAGCTTGCCTCATTCCAGATATACATCTCTGGAAGTGTAGCAGATTCTGACATTTTGAGTTCTGCTCCAGTAATTGTATCCAGTAAAAAGGAATGTCAAAATCTGAGGTGGAAACCATAAGAGGCAGATTCTGGAAATCTGTAGGAATTCATAGGCACTTGAGCTGCAGTAGTTTCTCCTTCTGGGAGCTATCCCAGCACAAGAGATAGCTGCACCTGATATATGTTTACAGCCAAACTTGGGTAGGGGCTTGAGTTGTTGATGATTTCCGATTATTACCTGCTTTCACCATCAGGTCCCAGGGTGGGTTACAACAATTAAAATATTCAGTGTTAAAACTGCACATGATTAAAACAGATTGCAGACACAAGAATAGGCTGGGTCCTGAAAGCACATCTCTCAGGTCTCAAAAAGGAGGGTAAAGAGGCGCATCTCTACCATATGGTGAACACTATAGAATGAAGGTCCCAAATGCACCTCTGTGGGGAGGGAATTCCACAACCCAGGAGCTACACAAAGCACACCCTCTCCTGGGCTGCCGCCACCACCCAAACTCCCGAGTGGTGCACATTCATTCAAAACCCAGTTAAAACTGTTTAGTTTAATTATTCAACCAAATGGATGAACTTGATGCCGTTATACCCAGTGATATTTTTCTAGGGAAAGAGAGGCCATGAACCATGAACTAACTCATGGTTCTCTTATAATGTTCACTTATAATGGCAATGGGGCCTACCTGAGAGGTGCCAAAACTGAATTCCAGTGAGTTCCAGCTGGAAAAAAAAGTCTGGGTTATACCCAGCGCTTTTTTTCTTTAAAAATGCTTAGGGATACTCTCATTTTGACTCAAGAAAATCACCATTTTATAGTTCAACGGCCTCGGCCCAGTATACCTGAAGGAGCGTCTCCACCCCCATCGTTCTGCCCGGACGCTGAGGTCCAGCGCCGAGGGCCTTCTGGCGGTTCCCTCATTGCGAGAAGCAAAGCTACAGGGAACCAGGCAGAGGGCCTTCTCGGTAGTGGCGCCCGCCCTGTGGAACGCCCTCCCATCAGATGTCAAAGCAATAAATAACTACCTGACATTTAGAGGGCATCTTAAGGCAGCCCTGTTCAGGGAAGCTTTTAATCTGTGATATTTTACTGTATTTTTTGTTTCTATGGAAGCCGCCCAGAGTGGCTGGGGAAACCCAGCCAGATGGGCGGGGTACAAATAATAAATTATTATTATTATTATTATTATTATTATTATTCAAATCGGGAAAAATAAATACAGTGGATGCTCGGGTTGCAAACGTGATCCATGCAGGTGGCATGTTCGCAATCCACAGCGTTCGCAACCCGCAGCACCAGGTCTGCGCACCCACAGGTCATGATTCGGTGCATCTGTGCATGCGCAAAGAGCGAGTTAGTGTTTCTGCGCATGCGCGAGTGCTGGAATCCAGAAATGACCCGTTCTCATACTTCCGGGTTTGCACAACCCGAAAACACACAACGTGAAGCGTCTGTAACCCGAGGTATGACTGTACAGTAAATGGACAAAAGTACAAAGATTCAAAAAAAGGTTTAGGGGTATGCATCCCCCTGCGTCCCCTCAGGAAAAAAAGCACTGGTTCTACCAGCTTTTCAAAGTCTAATAGTCATTTGCACCTGAAGGGCCTCCCCTGCCACCCCCTTGCCCCTTAGAACCCCCAGGTAACCCCCTCACACCCAGGGGGCACTACCTCCCACTTTAGGAAGCACCAGTTTCGAGAAAGCCTGCCAGCTTTCTCCAGGTTACAAGGTCAATCGAACACATTTTACAAGGCTGCCATCAGTGTTTTTGATTAAAAGAGGAGCAAATGTCCGGTGATTGGCAGCCTGCCAGAAATACCTTGCTCCAGGACTCCGGTAGAGTGTGCAGAGTTTATAACTAACTTTCCCTTCGTCAACCGGGAGTGTCTTGATCTGGGAGGATATTAGAATCTGGAAATGGAAGAGCAGGGATGCCGGGGGCATCATGCTTGATTGCTTTCCTGATTGGTATTGGAAGGGGGGGGGGAGAAATGCATTAGAGAGAGAATGTTTGATTTAAAGAGCGCTCAAACGCCGACTCCGTCTCTGTTTGTTTCACCCCCTCCTTTTTTTTTCTTAGCCAAAGCCTTGTAAAAATTTTATGAAGCATTAATGGTTCAGAGATTTCTCCCTCTCTCAAGTAAATTTTATGAGGCCAATGTCACCCGCCCACCCCCACCTCACTCCTCACATATCTGACCCAATTTAGCACTCTTAAGAAGCCTAGGACGTGGGTCACATTGAGATGGCTTCTTGAGGTTTTCCCACTGGAACGACACAGAGAGATAGAGGGGAGGGGCGAGAGTCTATTCCCTGTAGTGCCACACAGAGTTAAATTAGATTGAATCTCCTTGCATGGTTAAGGACTGGGGAGTCTCTGCAGCGGGGGTGGTGAAGGAAGAGAGCAGACATGGGGGAAATGGAGGTAAACAGATAAGGTTATTAAAACTGCATTTCATAAATTAAGCGCTGACCCTGAGCACTCCCACAGCCTTTTCCCACTCCACTCGCAGTGGAAAAAAACCCAATTAGTTTTGCAGAAAACGAACATGGAAAAGAGACAGCTTAGCACTGTTCTCTGTTCATAATGGCTTCCTTGGTAACATGCATCAAAGTGACAAATTGATCACTTGTGAATAAACAGCAAGACATCATTCCTCCCTTCCCATGCTGTATGATCTGATTTGAACAGAGGTCACAGAAGCATGTCACTAGTAGAGAAAATCTAAGTTCACATGCACAGCTGCAGTTCACTGAAACTAGACAACGCCTCCTGCTGAATCATTGGCAAAGAGAGTGCCTTGCTTGAGGCAGGGCCATAGCTAGGAATGTAAGAAGGCAGCGTATTTCATTCCGACCTATATTCATCATAACCAGCAACCTTTCCGTTCCACTGCAGTTCAGTTTCCACCAAATGCAAAGTCATTAGTCTCACTGTCTGCTGCTTAATGCAAGTTACGTAGCTATTGACATAACATACATTCATGTCAGCGTAAAAGAAATGTTAAAACATTTAAAAAGTCATTGATGACATATTGTTTGCAGACTTTGAAGAACCAACAAGCAGCATGTGAACAAATTCCCATTGCATTTGCCTGGCTGATTTAAGTTCTTGACTACAAACGAGCATACGCATTGCAGCAATTTCTGCTTCCTTATATATTTTCACGAGAATTCTCTGATATCCCTAGTCTGAAGTATTATTGGAACTGCTCTGGGTAGCAATAGGTTACAAGGTTTCATTGAAATAAGGTGTTTTAATATATGTCAACAACTCCATGGTTTTCCATTCTCTGGAAAGTTTCAGTAGTTTGTCTCCTGGTGAAGAATTATTATTATTATTATTATTATTATTAGTTGTATACAATCTCTGAGTCATTCCTAGTTGCCATTGTTTCATGTCCTTGTGAACAGACTACTAACATAATATGCATTGGGCTGCCCTTGTTGACTGCTCAGAAGCTTCAGCAAGTGGAATACACAGAATGTGGAACAAATTGTTTGCTTAAAATTGCCCTTGGTTTGATCTGGCATACATGGTATTTATGTTTAAATAATTTAGCTCATGCCCTGGCATCTTTTTTATCAGCTTTAGAAATACCCAATTCCATCCATGCACCTAATAATGTTTTAAGGTTCCTTATCAAATACTAAATCAGAGAAGGGGAACATCCAGCTGTTGTATTCCAGCTCTCATCATTTATGGCCACTGGCCATGTTGTCTGGGGATGTTGGGGTTTGGAGGCTAGCAATTTCTGGAGGGTCACAGGTCTCCCTGACCCCATCTTTTATTTAGGACTTGACGAGGAAACTTAAGACATCATTAGCCCATGGGTGGGCTGGAATATTTCTGAAGCTCTTAGAAAGTATACCAGGACATGAGCCCATAGTGTAGGCCAGACATATTGCTAATGACTTCAAACCTAATTTCCAAAGACAAGGTAGTTTGGTTGTAGGACATAATGGCAAATTATGCCTTTTTTCTTCTTTTTTTTCTTCAGGGGGTTTCAGACACTTAATGCTCTCTGTCTTGGTTGCGCTTGCTGCGATCTCAGCAGCAAAAGACATTTGAATTATTTAAGGCTATAGGAAGACATGTAAAGCCATTAGGACAAGACATAGCTCCCATGAGACGCTAAAGACTTTTCTACACCCTAAAGAAACAAAACAGAAAATCTCTGGTCTTCAACCACTATAGTGATGAAAGACACTGAATTAAGGATGTCATGGGACATGTGAAGAGGTAATGAAAATAGGTCAACTACTTTAAGCAGAAAGCTGCACTTGTCACACATGTCTTCAGTAGCTTTGACTTCTGAATTCCCTGGTGGGGTAGAGAAAGGAACTCTAAATTATAATTGGGAGTAAGGAGAGCAGAAAAGGGAATTAGAAATCTTAATGCCTTAAAACAGGGTGGGGAGGTCTGTAATAAAAGGTACCCCAGGGTCCCTCCAGACATTTGTTTTGTTGTACACTCATGATAGTGTGTGCTTTGATGGTATCAGGGCTTTATAAGGGATCCTACTTTTAGTGATATTTTTGCACTGATCAGCATTCCTACTGTCCCATGCCTTCAGCTAATTTGTAAGTTTCATGATTTCATTCATACGGGAGATCAAGGGAAGTGTCCTTTCATAGGGCTCCTTGGAGTTCTGGAGATCAGCTGAAAACTCTAGTTTATTTGCATTCTGTGATTTT